AAAATACACTTAAACCGTTAGTGTATAAAAATACAGCAAATTTTACAAAATTCCTACTAGATATAAAAACTTAAATGGCAACTATTTGTACATTTTGAATTGCACCTTTTTGCGAAATGATGAAAATCAAATGTTTGGAAAAATGTAAGTATCCAAATTTATCAAAATCTGAAGGTTTTAATTTTTCACTTACAGCTTTCAAAGTTTGGAAAAGGCTCCCCAAACCATATATTTTCTGAAAGCACATGACCAGTAGAATACAAAGAAGGGTCTACTGATTTTTAAGATCACACAATATTTGTGCAAATGTTTATCAAATGTCTATTTTCACAAAAAAAAACACTAATATCCCTATTTGCATTCACAAACACAGCATAACTTAAACTTTTGCTAAATTCCCAATAAGGCCTCATTCGCATGGGGTATACTAAAGCGTACACCCATGGAGGTCTGTGTTTGTCTACAAGGGAATGCACAGGTGTTGTGTGCATCCCTGTGCAGGCAGTCCTATTTGTGACTGTGCAGGTGTTGGTGTATGGCCCCAGATGCAGACAGTGTTCAGGGACATGCACCCACATGTTGGTCAACTTGGGAACAGTGGCTGTGTCCATGCATTCCAATTGATATGAATGGGACTGCCTATACATGAATGCACAGAACACTTGTGCATTCCTGTGCAAATGCTGTGTCTTAATCAATTGGATGGGCTGCATGGGGATGCACAGAACACCTGTGCATCCCTGTGCAGTTAAACATGGCCTCACTGTAGTATGACCCATGTGAACGAAGCCTTAGGCCTTGTCTACACTTGCAGGGGGGGGGGGGTAGCAAAAATGCACAGTTGAGCTGCGTTTCTGTTGTCCGCCAACTACCCCATAAGTTGCAATAGGCAGCAGAGGGGGGTGTTTAACCTTCAGTACGGGCATTTCTGGCACGTTTTGTTCACAGCTAACAATCAGTTTTTTTTTTCTGGCGTATAAGATGACCCCCTACTTCTCCTGTTAAAATATAGGGTTTGGGCTATACTCGCCGTATAAGACTACCCCTCTTCCAACGCACACCAAATAAAAATTAAAAAACATCAGATTTGATTTCAATACGGTATGGTATTTCAGTATGGTAATTCAATGATGGGGCGCGATTCCTCGCTCTGACACCAATGATGGGGCACGATTCCTCGCTCTGACACCAATGATGGGGCACGATTCCTCGCTCTGACACCAATGATGGGGCACGATTCCTCGCTCTGACACCAATGATGGGGCACGATTCCTCGCTCTGACACCAATGATGGGGCACGATTCCTCGCTCTGACACCAATGATGGGGCACGATTCCTCGCTCTGACACCAATGATGGGGCACGATTCCTCGCTCTGACACCAATGATGGGGCACGATTCCTCGCTCTGACACCAATGATGGGGCACGATTCCTCGCTCTGAATAGTGTCCCATCATTAGTGATGGGGAATAGTACTCTCATGACAGTGTCAGTGGGAGGAATAGTGCCCCCACATTGGTGTCAGTGGGAGGAATAGTGCCACCATCATTAGTGTCAGTGTGTGAAGAATAGTGCCCCCATCATTGGTGTCAGTGGGAGGAATAGTGCCCCCACATTGGTGTCAGTGGGAGGAATAGTGCCCCCACATTGGTGTCAGTGGGAGGAATAGTGCCCCCACATTGGTGTCAGTGGGAGGAATAGTGCCCCCACATTGGTGTCAGTGGGAGGAATAGTCATTGGTGTCAGTGGGAGGAATAGTGCCCCCACATTGGTGTCAGTGGGAGGAATAGTGCCCCCACATTGGTGTCAGTGGGAGGAATAGTGCCCCCACATTGGTGTCAGTGGGAGGAGGAATAGTGCCCCCACATTGGTGTCAGTGCCCCCACATTGGGTGAGTGGGAGGAATAGTGCCCCCACATTGGTGTCAGTGGGGGAAGGAATAGTGTTCCATCGTTGGTGTCAGTTGGGGGGGGAGGAATAGTGCCCCATTGTTGGTGTCAGTGGGAGGAATAATGCTCCATCATTAGTATCAGTGACACCAATGATGGGGCACTATTTCTTCCACTGACACCAATGACACTTGCTGACCCCTGTTCCAGCATGGTGCTGCTGCAGCAGCCAGCATACGTGGTTGCAGCAGCACCATCTGCACGGCACACTTACCGGCCACTCCCTCACTCGATTTTTTGCGGGGGGCCGCTCAGCTCCGCCTCCTCGCCGGTGATTGGCCGCCTGTGTGCCTTTCCTGAGCTACAGTTCTGGCACCCAATCACCAGTGAGGAGGCGGAGCCGAGCGAACATCGAGCTGCCGAACTGAATGAAGGAGCAGCCGCGCTTTCTGGACTGGATCGTCGTGGGACTGGGACCAGAGCCAGGTAAGAAACAGCAGCCCCCTGCCCGCCTCTGTACTTAGTGTCCCTTCTGTCGGAAGGGGGGGGGGGGCGGCACTGCGCCCCCCCCCCCTCCTAAAAAGTGCCGCCCTGACACCGGCTCGGAAGTGTCAGCACGCCGTATACCGGTGTATAAGACGACCCCCGACTTTTGATAAGATTTTCATGGGTTAAAAAGTCATCTTATACGCCGGAAAATACGGTATATACTGTATTTTTTTTAAACCGAGGCTCTAGAGAATAAATTGGTGGGTTTTGAAATTTTTTTATGTCACACGGTATTTGCGCAGTGGTTTTACAAATGCAATTTTATCTCTCTAACAGGGACAGAGACAATTTAAACTGATAAGCGTTCTAATCACTCTCCACTACACTTTAATATTTCTACAATATTACAATAACCAGAGCAAAACAATGAGTTAAGTAGTGAGTGCTACTGTGGTAAATATTAACATGACTTGATCTCTCAACAAACAGGAAACCGTGTGTTGGTTGAAAAGTGACATTTTGGCTTCAGCCTAGTACGCACAGGCCGAATGTCAAACGTCATTTGGCCGTGTGTACGGCAGCCAGTCCAACGAATGGGCATGACCGATAGGCTCCCAATCAGTGCTCTCAGTCGATGGCTGCGAATGCTGACCGTAGTGTTCTGCCCGGGGTCCGTTCCCCCTATCAGAACACATTAGCACAGCAGGGGAGATCTCTGTACTAAGATCAGATAGTTAGTACAACGTCTCCTCTTGAGCTGTCAGTTTTGTTTGTTTTTTGTTTTGTTTTTTTCCCATTTATCCTGCGGTTTCGAATGAAAAAAAAATTAGTAATGCGTAAAAGACTTTAGGAAGGGGGGAGAGCCTTAGCACCAGCTTCCCTTAGAGGAAAACTGCAATCAGTGTAGAAAATTTCCCACTGCAGATTGCTTCATCCATGTGGTAAATTGGAGGTGGCACTGCAAATGTAAGATTGTTGACTTATCTGACCATAACCAGTTGCATTCTTTTGACTAACTAGAATATTTTGTGACTAAAGCATATTTTTTTGATTTACGATGCCACATGTTGAGAACATTGACTGAAGCTGGGTACACACTGGCCGAAAATCGTCTGGCTCTTGCTGAATTTTCGGTTGGTGTGGACAGCTGTCTGTCCAACAGAAGCAGGTCTGACCTGCTTTTGTTGAAGGAGCTTGCTGGAAAACCAGCATTTGATCATTGCTTGCAGCCAATGGCTGAGAGCTCTGATCAGTGCATTCTGTGTGGGGAGAAGATTCTGTCAGAGTACAAAGACACAGCCAAGGGGATTGCTGCATTAACATCGCTTGTTGGTCAAACGGAAAAAAAAAAAAACAAAGAGTGTACCCAGCTTTACTCCATGGAGTTTGCTTGTACTCCCTGTGGGTTTCCTCTGGATACTTGAGTTTCCTTCCACAATTCAAAGACATGCTTGTAAGTTATGTGGCTCCTGTCTAAATTTGTACCTAGTTTATGTTTGAATGTTAGTTGTAAGATGTGATGTGGACTACAACATATATACACTTTTATTTGGTACACCTTGCTAGTGGCCAGAAAATATCCCCCACACCATTACACCACCACCAGCCTGAACCGTTGATACAAGGCAGAATGGATCCATGCTTTCATGTTTGTCATATTCTGACTCTATCATCTGAATGTCGCAGCAACCAGTTTGCCCATTTTCCTATGACAACAAGCCATTTCTTCCCCATTCTGATGCTCGGTTTGAACTTCAGCAAGTCGTCTTCACCACATCTAGATGCCTAAATGCCTTGAGTTGCTGCCATGTGATCGACTGATTAGCAGTTTGTGTCACCAAGCAATTGAACAGGTGTACCTAATAAAGTGGCCGGTGAGTGTATGTAAAGCCCTGTGCAAACTGTTGGCTCCATATAAATACCTGTAATAATAAATAAATCTAAAGTATAGGAATAACTGAGAGGACAACATCCTAAATATCAAGAAAGAACAAAAAAATTGCTTCATCAGTTTGAGTGCATAATGGAGGGGAAATCGGGGGTAATATCTTGCAGTCAGAAAATAACCATTTGAAGGTTCCTCAGTAGAAGTGAAGTTGCGTTTTGTATGTAGCTGGAATGACACCATGGGGCAGCTGATTAAATAGTTAGTCAATGCAGTGGTGGTAAAGTGATTTGGCACAGAAAAACGAAATGGGATTTGATTCAAGAGTGCTTGTTCAGACCCGGTAATGTGACACTTTTTATGTGCAAGAAAATACTGTGCCTCCACTTTATTAAGCCACTGCTACGTAATACTACCTCTCTGAGAACTCTAACTACTAGAGAAGCCCTATCTTATCTTTACAAAGCTCTCCAAAACCATGTGTCTTAATCTTTATCCCCATACTGTACTCAATACGACAAGCCTCCAATAAACTTAGAAACATTAGAGGACTGGGTGCCAATCAGTCGTGAAATGCTCCCCACAACATACAGGCCCTGGAAAATTCTTATATGGTCCTCTCTCTCTCTGGTACTCTACCCCCGCATGTATAGCAGAATGTGTCCCCAACTTTGCTTGGGGTGCTGAGTGGTGTTTAAAACTGCATTAATGTCATATTTTTACTTTTATATAATTTTTTTCTTTTTCTATGTGCACAGGTTAAACAGATTGAGAAGAGGGACTCTGTACTTACTCCAAAGCAGCAAATTGAGAGGCTGACCAGGCCTGGATCCTCCTATTTCAATTTGAATCCCTTTGAGGTATTCCTCATCTTGCATAGATTTTGTGACTTTAAAATGTATCTTTTTATGCATAGGTCATTGATAAACAACCTTTAGAGCCTAACAGGAGCTACAACTCTCAGCATAGCCTGCTATGTATATAATCTAGTGCCTTCTGAAAGGTATTTAGCTGGCTGTCTCAGAACTAGCATAAAACAAGCAAATATTTGTTTCCATTGGGTTCTCAGGAAGCAGTGAAACCATTATATTAACAAATCAGCTAAGCAACTATTATTTGCAGAAGAGAAGACCAGCAACACTTTTTCCTATACTACTGCTTGGAGAAATGGTCTTCTAAAAACTGGCAGTTGGGTTTGGAAGTTGATTTTGAAAAGGTCCAACTAGCTCATATTTAATAATACCATACCAGTACCCTACCTCCACCTTGCTGGCATCTGAGGCGAAGTGGAGCTCTGTGCCTATTGGTGATCCAGCCAGGGGCCCATTCATCCGGTCTGTCAAGAGTCACTCTCATCAGTCCATAAAACCATTGATATTATCTGTCTTCAGATATTTCTTGGCCCAGTCTTGACATGTGTCTTGTTCAGTGGTGGTCGGGTTTATGCCTCCCTTACCTTGGCCGTCTCTCTTACCACCTTGTACTTTTTGGCACTCCAGGTAGGTTATGTTAAAAAAAAAAAAAAAAAAAAAATTCAGACGCTCCACCCTAGCAATTACTGGTAAACTGGGGAGTTGATTTTATGTGTTTATGTATTTTTAGTAAATTGATAAAGAGGTGCTGGAAAAAAAAATCTTTGTATTGAAAGGACCATTCTTTTCTTATTAATGTTTCCATCTGATAATGCTTAGTGTCTTGATCAACATCAAAGATGCATATCTCCATGTGCTCATCTTTCATGGTGTCCAGCAATTTCTCTCTTTTGTAGTGGGAGAAAAACTAACCAATTACTGATACTTTCCTTTTGGGGTAACATTAGCCTATTGGGTGTTCACCAAAGTGCTGGCACTGGTTCTAGGACTGGTATGTCTTCAGGGAATCTTGAGCATCGGTTATCTTGATGATCTTCTAACAGCTAAATCATTCTCCAAACTGCTAACCAATCTTATAATCGCTGCAATAATCCTGGAGTAGTTCAGCTGGTTTCTGAACCTGAAAAAATCATCCAATTCCCTTCCTCAGGTTAGAGTACTTAGATCGCGTTCTAGATACCAGCATGGCCAGTATTGCTTCTACCATAGAAATCTCCGAAGCACCGGTCTCATGTCAGACCCTACAGATGGAAGTTGATTCACCTTTTCCTGGTTCTGGGTGTAGTGGTGGCTTCTTTTAAAGCAGTCCCTTATGTGCAGCATCATACCTGGATTCCTCAGAAGGAAACACTGTTGAAATGGGACAAATCTTCCCTTTCCTTGGACAAGGAAATACAAATGAGTTGAATGATGTGGGTATCTCCTTTTCTTGTGGCTTCTCTCTCCCATGCTCATTTCCAGGAAATCCTTTTGGATGGTCATGTCAACAGAAGCCAGCCTTCATGTTTCGGAAGAGTGCTTGAATGTTGGTTGATTTCGGGGTGAAGGCATGGTAGAGGAACCTGGTCTATCGATTCTTGTATTGGAGCTCAAGGTGCTTTGCACGGGGGCCAGTTTTCCTAAAGGTCATTCAGTCAAGATATAGACAGACAATAGCAAGGCATATACCAATTTGCAAGGAGAAACAAGAAGCATAGATCCATGGGCAGAGAGAAATGGAGACCCTGCAAGTCTCCCGTTCTACACTGAATGTAATGCGGTGCACATCGCACTGCATTACATTCTTTCCCGACCTCAATGACCGGGAATCTGTCGAACGGTGATCTTGAAGTGATGTCACATCACGTCCAGATCAGGAGAAGGGGAGGGGAGCGAATGTGTCCGCTCTCCTCCTCCCTCCCCTATACCACATCCCGCTGCACCCACCGAACCAGTCTCGGACTTGCAGATGGACAAGTGGAGCCCGGGACATATAGCAGGGGTGGGGGGGAGGCTGACACTGTAGGCCGTGTGGAAGCAATCGGGCGACAGTGCTGCTGCCCGATTGATTCCACCTGACAGGTGAACCGTGCTGCTTGCCCGCAGCAGGGCTAGGGGCAAAAAAAACTACCTGCCCGGCGCCCGGAACTACATGTCCTGGGCGTCTGGCGATAGGAATTGGATATCACTGAGTTCAGTAAAATTCTTAATTGCCGGTAATTTCATATACTCATTTATACTTGCATAAACGAGTAAACACGCAAGTAAATTACTGCACTCAAATTAATAAGTTTCTATTTTTGTTCTGTTCTCAACGCTGTATCACTGATATTTACTCAGCTGTGTGCAGTGTCCCATGAACAACAATGCATCTCATTTCAGATCAGTAAAAAGCTCAACATTTTTTACTCCCGTGACCAACAGGCCTTGGCATTAAATGTAATTTTCTAACTTGTATACAAAAACGCTCTATATGAGCATTTTTTTCTGCCAAGGGAACTGGCATTTTTTTTAAGCCCAGTGTGCATGGACCCTTACTACAGCATTTAATTTTTTTTTTTTATTCCTCCTCCTCTTAAACAAACCAGAAAAAAGTTATGATTGTTACCTTTTTTGTTAGCTGAGATTGCTGTCTTGCATATCCCAGGACACAGTGTGTTACCAGCCACAGCATGCATACACCCGTTTGCTTGTCTTCCTGCATAGTTGTTATGGCAGTGGTATTCCTTACTGTCATGGCTCAAAATGACTCCCAGAGATTACAAAGTTAGGCAAGCACAAATTATTTAAAGTGTCTGATTTAGCCCTCATATAGTTTACCCTGTCATTTTAAACTGACAAAATAACCATCATAGGTGTCGTTTAAAAGTTTTCTAAACTTTTAATACAGTTTAGATCTTCAAACTTAAAAATCTTTAATCAAACAATATTTCTAATTAATTTCTGTGTTTGTTACACTGTATTTTTTTTATAGGTGCTGCAGATCGACCCAGAGGCTACTGATGAAGAACTAAAGAAAAGATTCCGTCAGGTAGTTATAAACTTTAAGTGCCTGGTCATAATGGTGATTTAAGAATTGAAATCGCACCTGAAATCTCATCTAATGAATGTGAATGTCAGTGTCTTAACATTTGCTATTTGCTGCAGCGCAATTTCTAAAGTGATTCTTGCATTAATTTTTCTGCAGTTTTGTTGCGATTTCACATACATAGAATATAATGGAAATTGCACTGCAAATTGCAAGAAATCATTGAAAATCTCCACAAGTAACAACAAAGTCTTCAGAAATCACACCTGAAATCACGCTGAATTTGCACGATTTGAAATCGCAACCGAGTGACTGGTGATGAAATTGCACACAAATCGAGCAATTTTTAAATTGCACTTCCATTGAAGTCACTCGATTTCAAAGTTGGATGTCATTCTGACTTTAGGTGCAATTTGCAAGACATCTGCGGCTTGCAAGACACAGATGTCAGTCACACCTGAAGTAGTGCACGCACTACCTTAGAAATCGGTGCGGTTCCTACCAAGTCTGAATCACCGATATGACCGCTTTAATTATGGACAATGGGGTGCGACTTGCCATGCGATTTGCAACTCGCATGGCATGACAAATCACATGGCAAGTTTTTTTCTTTTACAAAGAGTTTTGAGGGTTAAGCAAAGACAAATCAGACATTCAAAATACAAGTTCAATGATCAACAAATATAAATTGTACTGGGCTAGTGGAAGTCTTTTCAAGGTATACATTGATAGGTGCATACACTGAAATGTTTACATAAGAGTCTTTTAGAAAAGGATGTGGGAAGGAAAGGGGAAGGGAACATTAAGCAAACCATTGAAGTTCACCGACAATAAAGACTCTATAAGAAATTATTTTACAGCATCAACATTATAAAAAACATAAGAGGCACAGAAAAAAAAAAAAACCCCTCCAGAGAATGATTCATGTTCTAAACCTTGGATGTGTAAAGAGATCTAGGTTGCAAAGATAGTATTGCAGATATAACCCAGAAAACAGCAAACACAAACCGTAAAATATGTTTAAAAGCAGATTGGACAGAAGGATAGAAGAGGACAAACAGTGGAAAGACACGGACAACAACAACATCAAAAAAAAAAAGAATAAGGGGGGAAGAAGGGCTCCGGGGCGCTCGCAGCAGACTCCATTCTTATATCGACAGAAGGGACTGATCAAATCTTGAAGGTTGAGCTATATCCAACCAGGGACGCTAAATCCGCAGAAATTTTGTATGGGTATCCAACAGTATGGCAGTCAGTTTTTTCATTAACCATTATGAAGTTCATCCGATTTCTGACTGCCTCAAAACTAAGGAGAGGAGTTTTCCAAGCTCTCGCGATTGTCAATTTAGTTGCCATAAATAAGTGTGACTCCAGCTGCCGCTCAGAAAGGAGGAGGCCCTCCAGTGGTTTAAATAGAAGCGCTTCGTATGGGTTACGCTTAATGTCCATGTGAAACATAGTGCAAAGAAGGGCATACACCCTAATCCATAGTCGGCTTACTTTAGGGCAAGTCCACCAGATGTGGGCCATAATGCCCAATTGTTGGCATCCCCGAAAACAGACCGGAGAATATGAAGGAATAAAACTAGCTAGACGAGCAGGCATATAGTACCATCGGTAAAGAATTTTGTAAGCATTCTCAAGGATAATGACATTCCTGGAACATTTGGATATTGCTTGGGTCATGGTCTGCCAATCCTGTTGATCCAAGGACCCTCCTGATTCAGACTGCCAGCGCTGGTGATAGGAGCGAACCGGAGGGGTTCTAGAAGATATAATAGCTGAGTAAATCAAGGAGATCAAGCCCGGGGCATGAGGTCTATGTCTACACTGGCTTTCAAAGGGGGACAGACGGTAAGGACCCGGGAGCGCGCGTATTAGTGTATTAATAAAGTGACGAAGTTGAAGGTAACCAAAATGTTCCCGTAAAGGGATGTTATAAGAAGAGCGTAAAGTTTCAAAGGTAATTATTCTAGTGGGAGATAGAAGCGAGTGAACATCATAAAAACCATGTGTCTGCCACCAGGCAAACTGTCTAGGATTATCCCTTACCGGAGGAAATAATGGGTTATGGAATAGACGTAACAACGGCAAGTGAGGGGAAATGAGGCCAGCGGAGTATTTAATAGAATCCCAAAGACACAACGAAAACGTCAGCGTCGGGCTAAGGGTAGATGGACGTTGAGAGATAGGAAGCCATGGCAAGGAAGAGAGCGGTATCGGGTGAGAGTCCATCATATCCACAACAGCCCACAGGGGGAAGTGGTGAGATGCATGAATATGGGCTAGAGGGGCAATGTTAGCTGCCAAATAGTAGGACTGGAGATTTGGAACAGATAACCCACCCACACTCCGGCGCGCAAATAGGATATGTTTGCTAATTCTGGGTCGAGAAGAGCTCCAAATAAAGGACAGAAGTTTTCGCTGATGAGTACGAAGTATATGCGAAGGTACTGGAACCGGGTAAAACACGAAAGAGGTATAACAGTTTAGGAAGATAGGTCATACATATCGCATTAATTCTGCCGAACCATGATAACGGAAAATGAGACCAAGATGACAATAACTCGGACAGCTCATGAAAGACATTGGGAAAGTTAGCCTGATACAGCCCGTCATATGTCGGGGTGAGCTTAATTCCTAGATGTGGTAAGGCGGAAAGCCATTGAAAAGGGAATGTTTGTTTCAAAGTCAGCAAGAGTGATGGTGGGAGGGTGACCGACATAGCTCTTGATTTAGCAGGGTTGACATGTAAACCCGAAAGAGTTGCAAAAGAATCGAGAACCGCGAGCAAGTTGGGCAGAGTAACCCCGGGTTCGAAATTGACAATAATATGTCATCTGCAAACAAAGACAATTTATGTTGGGAGCCCGCGGCCTCGATCCCCTTAATATCAGGATGCATACGAATGGCTTCAGCCAATGGTTCCAGGGCCAGGATAAAAAGTAAAGGAGAAAGCGGGCAACCTTGCCTAGTACCTCTAGCAATCGAAAACGTAGTGGACTCAAAACCATAATATTTAAGCTTCGCTTGAGGGGAAGTGTATAGCGAAGAGATCCACCGTAGGAACGAAGGGCCAAAGCCAAAACGATGGAGGACCGATAGGAGATAAGGCCAAGATAAAGTGTCAAAGGCCTTGTTAATATCTAAAGATAAGAGCATCATATCAAGTTTACGAGTGTGGGCCAAATGTTGCAATTGTAAAATACGTCTGATAGCATCTCCAGCCTGCCTGTGAGGAACAAATCCCACTTGGTCTTTTTTGATCAGACGAGAAAGGAAGGAATTCAAGCGAGTAGCCAAAATCTTAGTAAGAATCTTCATGTCGATGTTGATAAGAGAGGCCTATAATTTGCCCAGGAAGAGTGATCTCGATCTGGGTTAGGGATCATAACCACATTAGCAGTTAAAGAATCCGGGGAAAAATTTGAACCTCCCTTCACCGCGTTAAACATATCTGCAAGGTGAGGAGCGAGCACATCAGCCAATTTCTTGTAATATAGTGCCGTGTAGCCATCGGGGCCTGGACGTTTACCCGTTTTTAGATCTGCTATGCATTGCAAAACCTCAGATACTTGGATATTACGATCCATCAAGTCCTTATGGGCCGACGTTAAAGTAGGTAGGGAAAGATGAGATAAAAAGTCAGAAATTGACTGAGGATCAGCCTGAGTAGGATCAGAATAAAGTTTAGCTAAACGATACCGGAACTCTTCCAAAACTGCTACCGGATTGCTCGTTAGGGTATTGTGACGAGTGCGTAACGATATTGGTTTAGGGTGCTGCGCAAAAGAGCGCAGTCTACGGGCTAACATAGAGTCCGGTTTGTTTGCTTTACTATACCATTTCTGGCGAGTCCAACGTAAGGAGCGTTCAGCCTCATCCGTTAGGCAAAGATCTAACTCTATGCGGGCCTGATCCAACAGCCGACGGTTCGACGGGGAAGGTGACTGTTTAAATTGGGCCGACGCAGAAGCTAACTTCGATTCCAACTGACACTGTTTAAGCTGTCTTGCCTTCTTTTGTCTGGAGGCTATTTGGATAATATGTCCTCTAAGAACTGCCTTGTAGGCTTCCCATAACTGTTACTGAAGAAGAGACAGAACTGGAATTTAATTGGAAATATTCCTGAGACTTACGATGTAATTCCGCCTGAACCTCCCTCAGTGAAAGCAAAGAATCATTCATTATCCAGGAAGAGAAGGCTGGCCTACTTAGGAGAGAACGGCAGACCACCAAAATAGGTTCATGATCCGACCATGGAACCGTTCGAATAGAAATAGCGCAAACTAAAGGGAGGTGTTTACACGAAACAAAGGCATGATCAATTCTGGAATGAGAGTGATGAGGGTGTGAATAATAAGTGTAGTCTTTCCCCTGAGGATGTAATTCACGCCATAAGTCTACCAGATCATGAGTAGTTAACGCACGTACAAAAGACTTTGCCGATGTAGAAGGGCCAGAACGCTCCGCTGGATATTTATCCACTGTGGGGTTTAGCACTAAATTTGAATCCCCTGCCATCAAAAGCGTTCCCCGCTGATGCGTAGCCAGGAGAGAACATAGGTGTGACAGAAAAGGTCCAGGATTAACATTGGGAGCGTAATAGGACACTATGGTAACGTCCACCCCATGGACCGTGCCCTGGAGCAAAAGATATCTACCATTGGGATCAGCAATACGCTTCACACAGACGAACGGGGTTTTACTATGGAAGGCGACCAATACGCCTCTCTGTTTAGTGGGGCCCGTGGCCTGAAATATCTGAGGGTAGCGTGCATCAAAATATTTAGGGGCAGAAGTAGTAGAGAAATGGGTTTCTTGTAAACAAGCAATATCAACTTGACGAGCCGGGAGAAACCTAAATACTTTTACCCGTTTCTGCGGAGAATTCATCCCCTGGACATTCAAGGATAGCCAGTTCAGCGACATGGAGACCTAAAAAAAGGAAGATTTAGTCCACCGCGATCCCCGGGAGCCCTAAAAAAAAAATTTACAAAAAC